CTCTCTCTCTCTCTCTCTCTCTCTCTCTCTCTCTCTCTCTCTCTCTCTCTCTCTCTCTCTCTCTCTCTCTCTCTCTCTCTCTCTCCCGCAGAGCTTTGGCGCATCAGCAGAATAGCATTTGCCCGGATGTATTTGACAACATTTTCGGACAGCAGAATAGATTCAGCCTGTTCAGGGTGGGAAGGGTGCAACTACATTCTAGCCTTCTACCGCTGTGAGCCTGCAATTATGGGAGGAAATTTGAAGGGTGTGTGCTCACGGTAGGAGTTCCCATCACATATCCAATGGCAGAAAGCCACCCAAAAAAAATCATAGTGCGAGTACCTTCGAGGTTTTTCTTTCTTTCGGGGGACAGCCGCCTGCCCAACATTTTACTTTCTTTTTCTTAGGGGCTGTCACCCCTCAGGTAATTTGTATCCATCAGGATTGGAGTGTGCTACCCATCTCACAAGTGTGCACCTACATATGCAGCAAGTGAACCGAGCAATCCGGATATCCAGATACGCACAGACACGTTGTTCTCCACGGCCTGGTTTGGTGCAGATTACGCAGATGACGTGATCAAAGCAGAGCAGACATGTATCTTGGCAGCACCCAGGTCATGTTGAGGTCCGGGTTCCTCGTAGCCATGAACAAGTGTATAGTGTACATTGATTTTATTCTTTTACATTGTTCTCTTACTCTGTATTAATTTAACTGCAAGTTAGATTAATCTTGTACTAGTCACATACTTTTTATATCAATTTTTAATTTTCTTAATTTTCAAGTAATTTTACGTTAGTTTACATAGTGCCTTCTGTTCAGTTTTCGGCCGAGAGAGATGGCATAAGGGGCTTACGTGTCTTGCCAGCCAATGAAAGCACAGCTGTAAAATGCCGATTGGTCGGCAGACACTCGGACCGCAACAGCTTTGCTGATTATCGAGTTCTTCAGAGGCCTCGGGGCATCATTTCGGAAGGTAATCCCATAAGCTATGAATCCACGACCATCAACAACCACCGTCGGAGTGAATGCTGTCGTTAGTGGAATGCCAGTTCGAGAAGTTCTGCCGTTCGACTCCTCACCCGATTCTGAATTGAACGTTATAATGGTCGTATTCCGGTCCCACCCTATGAGTGAAATGAATGGCTTATTTGCTGGTATCCATACCCTACCGTAGTAAACTCCAGGCTTAAGCAGGATCACCCACCGGGCATTAAATTGAGACTCCGAAGGCACTTCCTTAATGGCCTCTTGAACTGTAGTGAAGTCACCGCTGCCATCTGCAGCAACGATAAAGTTTGGTTGAGCTTCTGATGGAAGATACAGCAGCGGAAGCTTGGTTATTGGGAGCCCTGCCCTGGTGCCATTTGGCATCTGCACTGGAGCAATCTCTCCCGGTATGGGGTCAAGAACAGGACGACTGTCCAATCCAGCCACTGGATACGATCCGTTCAGCCAGGTCGTGTCATTCAGCACAGCGGGCAGACTCTCAATTACAGGAGCTGGACTTGGCGCAGGTGCTGGACTTGGGGACGGCCACGCTTCTGAAGAACTGACTGCTATTTTCGGGGTCACTGTGTTGCCGAAATCTGAGCCATTCACCAGTGGCAATGAGGCCACAGCCACCTGTCTGTGTGATGTAATCAGCTCCCCAGCTGCGGATATCATCACACTCGGCTCGCTGCTTGAGACAGGTCCAAAGAGGGAATCGGGAACAAGAGCAGGAAGAGAGGCAGATGACAATGACATTCCATCCAGTAGAAACCCCCTTGGATACATTGAAGGCTGCGACTCCGGGGAGACTGCCACATCGCTTGAACTTTTTGGGGCAGGTGGAGGTGGTGTTCGCGTTCGTTTTTCGCTGGAACTTCTGGGTGCATAAGATGCAGGGGGAACACTTGGAGGCGGTGGATATGACAATCTTGGAGACGGCCATGCAACCGTTCTACCAGCCAAATAAGCTGCAAGGTCAAGCCCAGGAATAGCACCATTCCCAGAGAGATCGCCAGGGAGTGATTGCACTTGCCCCTGGACAGCGGTTTGTGAGCCAACGGTCCCAGGAATTTGGGGACTGTAAAATGTTCCTGATACTCCAGGAATGACATTTCCAGATAGTTTGGAGTCAGCAGCTGTTCCGCCTTGAACCCGAGAACTGAGGTCACCTGGAAACTGAGAACCAACAACAGTACCTGGAAGTCCCGGGGGACTGTTCCCAGGAACTTGGGGGACAGCATTGCCTGGAACAGCACTCCCAAGAGCACTTCCAAGAGAATTTCCTTGAACACCATTCCCTGGAACATTGCCAGGAACATATGCTCCAGGGACACCAGTTCCAGGAACACCTCCCGTTCCTGGAACACCAGTGCCAGGAACACCTCCCGTTCCAGGGACACCAGTTCCAGGAACACCTCCCATCCCAGGGATACCTCCAGCGAGAACACTCCCAGGGACACCACCGCCAAGAGAGCTACCAGGAAGAGTTTCTGGGATACTGGCCCCAGGAATATTTTCAGGAAAACCACTCCCAGGTACTTGGAAAAGCCCTCCCGAAACCATTCCGTCAGGAAGGCTTGCACCTCCAGGGATATGCGAGGACACACCGGGAAGGTTGGAGGTGGAGAAAGTACCTGCACCCTGAAGGGAACCACCAGTACCTGGTACTCGAGAGCTCCCAAACATACCAGGGATCCCTGGAAGTACTGTGCCCGGGATTTGTTGCGAGTTCCCAAACATACCAGGGATCCCTGGATATACCGTGCCCGGGACTTGTGGTGAGTTGGTAGAGGCAGGGTTTCCGCGAGAATCCTTGGCGTTATCATCAGCAGCAGCATTGTCACCGTTGTCTTGGGTGTCTCCTGTCTGACCAGTATTACTTCCATCAAACGGATCAAGCATGTCGGAATCCTGTGGTCCAGGGAAGTTATCCCAATACCCTGTAAGGACCCGTGAAGCATATCGAAGAACTCTGGAAAGGGGGTTTACCTGTCCCATCGGTTGGAGATGTTCCGTGGGGGCAGATTTCTCCATGTCACCCCGTACCCATGGCGACGAACCTGCCTCCGGCTTGAGATGGGACTCCTGCTGCAAGCCTTCTCTTGCTTTGATCCCCAAGTGTCCAGATGATGTGCCCCTTCTTGAATCTATGGAGGCATCGTCACCATATGGGACTGCTTGAAACCGTTCTTGTGATTCCTCTTTGCTCGTGACAGCTTCATACGTTGTTCTATGAATCGGTTGAGAGTTCAACACCCTTTCAGTAGAGGCCAGGTTCTCCAATATGGATTGAGAGCTGCTGCTACGGCCCTTGATGCTACTGTGGTCTTTCATGGACAACAGCCGCAGGCGTGCACGTGCGCCTGCACTGATGTGCCTTGTGGCAGAGGCACTGGCACTAACAGCAACATCAGTGGTTTTCTTCTTAATCTGAGGACCATCTGCCACATGTTCATTACATGACAAGCACCCAGGAGCATGACCATACAGACCGTCCGGTCTGGAAGGCATGAGGTTCCATATCCAACTGCTTTTCCCAGTCTCATGGTCATAGCTATGGGTATTGGACTCTCCTGCATTAAGAGAAGCAAGGAATTTGCCCTCATCCTCCCGGCTGCGAACATGACCCACATGGACAGTTTTATTTTCCTGTGTATCAATGTCCGACTCTCCTGCAATAAGAGAAGCAAGAAGTTTGTCGTCCTCCTGCTGGCTGCGAGCCTGACCCTCATGGCCAGTGTTCAATTCCTGCATAGTAGAAACGTCGATCACGTTAAGGGAGAGAGGGAGGCTTGCCTCCCTCTTTCTGACGCTGTCTGAAACAGCTATGCTCTCTACGTCCACGTCAGATCGCCCAGAGTCCAGTATCTTCCTCACAGCACCAGGGAGAATTGTACCCCCATCGCTATGATGAGGCCTCCCCTCCCATTTCTGCTCAAGTTTGAGTTGCCCCAATGATCGCTGTTGGATCGACCCAATTTGAAATGGTGCCCATCCGTCCTTCATGCTTTTTAGGATATCTAAGTTCAAAGTGAATGATCTCTGAGACAATGAAAGTATGATCAGAGCCCCAGCGGTGCCAAGCAAGCCCAAGAGAACTCCCCAGCCAATACGGGAGATCCCCATCAATCGTCCATGCCGACTGCATCCGCTTTTTGCAATCGAAAAGCCACATTGTGTTGTCAACGACATGTTGACGGGCCTAGAGTCGGCTGTCGGCAGATAGTAGCAATGAGTTGGCACGACAGTTCACGCTCACAGTGCGTCACGCTGCAAATGAGTAACCAGTTCACAGGTCCACTGTGCCTCACAGCTTATGGCTAGCGGTTATAGCTCTCTTGCACAATCGTCAACTGTTTGCAGTGGAAGTATCCTCCATCAACTGTCCTGATTCACATAACCTGATCTTTCTTCAACTCGAGAATAGCTCTAGGTCACAACCTCGGAGGTCGAACCCGCCTCCACTACAGAGAAATCACAGTGCTTGTGTCACAAGAAGTGGCATTCACGGTATTCACTGCACTGACTAGACAGCGCAAAGGGGTACGAAAAACGATGCACTGGATATCGAGTTGTATACCCAGACAAAGTTGTACTTTGGTGACGATGCTCTCACTCTCTTCGTCTGGATGTCCATCCCAAATTTTCTCTCTCTCTCTCTCTCTCTCTCTCTCTCTCTCTCTCTCTCTCTCTCTCTCTCTCTCTC